TCTTCGACTTCCAGGCTTTCTAGCATTTCTCGGACTTTCCTCACGGCCTTCGGAGTGGTTGTGATGTGCTCTCGGGGATGGGGGCCAATGAACTCGAACAGGACATCATTGCCGTGAGTTATTATTTTCCCACCCTCCCCCATTCATAGTTTACAGCTCACCAACGACGTCTAAAAGTGGCGTTTTTACCGGCCGCTGTTTCCGCATTGTGTAGGCTTGCCAAGCATTCTATAATTGCCAAATATGAGACGCGGTTCACGCGCACAATGTCGACCGCTGGCTGTCACTTTAATGTTTGTCCAATCGTCGGTTTAATCCCGTCACATTTCACAAACATAACGCATTGCTTGTACATCCGCGTCATCTAGCGCCTTTCTCGGTGGCTGTCTTTCCCAAATCGGTTGGCAGGCGCTGGCGAAGACTTTGCTGCATTTGGGTTGGCTACAGGCATCTCAAACACCACTTCGAGGCATGTCCCGTTTGCTTGTGCGCTCGACTGTCGTCCAACGGTCGCCAACAGCACAAAGTTGAAATAGCAAAAGCTGTGGCTTCCTCGAAGATGAAAAATGCCGACAGAGATGCTCACAACTGAGCATTTTGCGAATAGAAGTTGTGTTTCGAGGGCTATGTTGCTTCATCATTGTTGAGCCCACTTCCATTTCGAGTGAAAACGTCGGGTTGGAAGACGACCAGCAACGGATTCCTCTTGACCAGCTCTCGATTGGCCTTACTGGCACATTCGTGCTGGCGCTGTTTCCGATGCGATAGCCTTCCATTCCAGTGAAAGCATGCTTTCTTTATTCGTCAGTGTGAATATGGTTGTAAGGATGATGTTCTCCCTGCTCTCGTGATGCCGGCCACACCACGGACGAAAGGTCGGCACGTTTTCACCGGAAGCAAAAGAGATTGCCCCGGAAACGGCCTCTGCAAGGGGATTCGAGTCAATCGAGACCTGGCAACAGGGAATCAGCCGTCGTCTCCTGGGGAGATTGATCTTCAAATCTCTCCAACTGATTACCGTTTATTCAACCCAAGTTCTGATAACCGGGGTCTACTTCCGTCGTTTAAGCGTAGTGTGACTTGGTTTTCGTAGGTTGGTCGTGTTGTCAGGGCGACCCCCGCCATAGTAGTCCTGATGATTTGCAGAGTCGGACCGTGGACTTGGTGCATTTCCAGACACATCGCCGGTACTGTCAGTGCATCTTGTCAGTCAAAGAGACAAGACCTTCCTGCGAGCACTTGTGGTTCCTCTTCCTCTAACCTGCAGCATTCATACACCCAATAGTCTCGTATCGCCACCACTGTTGTCATAGCATCTAATTTGTCTGTTTCCCGCCCTCCTGCCCCTCTCGGTGGGATCGCGGTCTTGACACGAAGTAACCCTTTTGGTCTGCAGGTCCTCTCGGAGTCTACCTCAGTCTCTTATCTTCTCCAATTCGGGGAGTAATTTTGCACATTCCCATTCTCTCATTTCGATCATATTGTCAGACTTGCCGATAAACGCTGCTTGTCCACAGAGCTCTCCCTCTGTAGTCTTGATGGCCTCCAGCGTCGCACCGTTGACGCGGTGCATTCTCAGACATTTCGCCGCCATCTTCATCGAGCCTTGCTATGTCGGCACCAAATCACAACCCGCCAAACAGACAAATGAAGTACATACCTTGAATAAATTTCCGCTGAACGGTTGCGGAACCAAATCGCGTAAGCGAGGTCAAACCAATTCATTTGCACATCTTCACCTTGAAATCCACTCCTACTCAATACTCGACTCACTATCAGAAATTGCCTGTTGTGCGCCAATCGGGTTTTCATATAATGTCCATAAATAAATGGAACCGCCAAGAGCGTTGATCCAGACCACTTTTACTCATTTAGAACGTAAAGTCCTGCATCGCTTTTAGTCGATGTAAAAAGAACGGGTTCACACGCTTCCAAA